CAACATATACAGACTTTGTAAGCAAACCAATTTAAAATAAAATTTTTTTTATTTGCTTGTGAGAGCCCATTCTAGGCACAAGAGTTGATTGCTATTAGCCTGGAGCAACAAGGGAAAGAGAGTCAGGAATGTGATGGTTAGATGCCTTCTGCTTTTAGCATCAACACGGCTGCTTAACAGAAGGAAACACAGCCCTGCTCTGCACCGTCCCCACAGCAGCTACTTTGCTTAAAAGAAAGCATTGTTTCAGTCACCTTGTCAGTCCACCTCATTGAAGCTCATTTGTCATGTACCCTGTACTAAGTCTGATATCCTTCTCAAGGGATTAACCTCTCCTGTTGTTTGTGTGCTGTTGAGTTGGCAACTCATGGCTGAACCTCGAGTGGGGTTTCAGAGGTAGTAAATTGCATGGGAAGAGACTGCCTATCCTTCTGTTGAGCAGCTAGTAATTTGAACAGCATGCCTTTGGGATTGCAGCACAGCTTTTTAGCAGTAGGCCACCAAAGCTCCAAAATTTATGAGACAAAATCTTACTATCCTAGCTTCCAAGGAGCACTTTGGCTGTATTACTTCCAAATTAAATTTAATAGAGTTTTTTAGCTGTCCGTGATTTCTTCTGTATTCTTCCACAAAGTGGGAAGTGTAGTTAATTATTTCCAGGAACAACTGCCACCTTTGCCATGAGACCAGAATTACTAAACATTTTAATCAAATACTCAATAAAAGAATCCTGGTTCAAAAAGGGAAAATGCAGAATAGAATTCCATTCTGTGTGGAGAAACCTCAGAAAGTAGTACCCCCAAGATAATCTTTAATCTTAAACCAAGAATAATTTGCGAAATCCTCTGCCTTGAGCACTATGTTCTTTTCAGATCTGTCTGTATAAGGGAGCTCTAGCGGCTTCTTGTGGTGGTGGTGTCCACCACGGGTAACCATTATTGCATTTCACATGTCACTGTCAGTGTTTAGCATCACAGCCTTGAACCTAGAGCTTTGGAATTGTAGTGCAGCTTCTTGCCACTAGTGATCAGAATTGTGCTGCCAACACAAAGGTATGTGGTTTGAGACCACCAGCTGCTCCACATGAGGAAGATGGGCAATCTCCTCCTATGCAATTAACAACTTCTGAAAACTTGCTGGTGGGTCAGCTATGATTCATTTCCGACTTAACACCACACAACAACAACATCTGTTTAGGATCAGATGTACAATTCAAAAGATTAAGTAGGAACTTGGAGGTGCAGGAAAGAGAAGCCTTTTTAAATATTGAACTCCGTACACTTTCCAAAACCTGGAGATATAGATCAAGACTGAATTAAATACTTTCTGTACTTAAATTATGTTGTTATTGTTGTTGTTGTTGTTAAGTGCCGTCGAGTCATAGATGAATCATAGTGACCCTATGAACGAAAGACCTGAACTTTCTTTGTTTCTCCAAGTTCATAAAGCTTCCGGAGGCAAGCTATTTCAGAAGTGGATGCCACTCCTGCTTCCAAGGTTGTTTTAATCGAGGAGCTCCACAAAACACTGTCCACCATGGTAACCATTATTGCATTTGACACGTCAATGTCACTGTGTTTAGCATCACAGCAACCATGATAGACAGATCTCAGTGGCCTATACCCTATTTCTTGGGAAAGACATCTCTCTTGGAAAGGTGGAAGATCAGAGAATGAGAGGAAGACCCTCTACAAGATGGATTGATATAATGACTATAACAATGGACTTAAGTATATTGGTGATGAAGAGGATGACGCTGGAGCAAGGTTCAGATCTGCTGTTCACAGGGCATGAGTCATGGTCAACTCAGCATCACATACAGCAAGATCTTCTTGTTATGTGCCGTCAAGTCGCCTGCAGCTCATTGAGACCCTATGTACAACAGCCCTAACCCCTGCTCTATCCTGTGCCAACATTATTGTCTCGGACACACCAACTCCCATACCCAGTCACTGAATCAAAGCTATCTCATTGAGGGTCTTCCTTTCTTGTACTGTCCCTCCACCCTCTCAAGCATGATGTCCCTCTCCAAGGACTGGTCCTGCCTTGCAACATGTCCAAAGTATGTCAGATGAAGCTTCAGAATCCTTGCCTTCAAGGAGCACCCTGGTCTCACCCTCTCTAGGATGAACCTGTTTGTTCTCCTAGCAATCCATGGTATATTCAATATACTCCAGCACTACAACTCAAAGGCATCAATTCTCCTTCTATCATCCCTAGTCATTATCCAGCTTTCTGACACATACCAAGTAATTGCAAAGACTCTGACCTGGATCAGGTGTACCTTAGTCTCCAGACTGGCATCATTGCTCTTCAGTACTTTGGAGAAGTTTCTGACAGTGGACTTTCCTAAAGCAATTAATCTTCGATTTTTTTGGCTGCTGGTGCCAAGAGTGTTGATTGTAGAGCCAAACTAAAGCTGTTAACAATCTCAATCTCTTAACCATCTATCATGATGTTGCTATTTGGCCCAGTGGTGAGAATCTCTGTTTATTTTTTATATTGAGCTTCAATCTGTATTGAAGGCCGCAGTCCTTGACCTTTTGCAGCAAGCGCTTAAGGTCCTCCTCAGTTTCAGGAAGCAGGGTTGATCTGCATAATGCAGATTGTTGATGAGTCTTCCTCCAATCCTGATGCCATATTTCTCCTCATAGAGTCCAGCCTCCTGGATGATCTGTTCTGCATATAGATTGAAAAGATATGGAGATAGGCCACATACTTGGCATATACCCTTCCCAATTTTGAACCATGCAGTGTTTTATCATTAATTTGTATGTCAGTCTAGAAAAAGTCTTGGAAAATTACTGAACACTGAATTTGTAACACTTAATGGGAGCGTATGGACTGCCAAGAAAACAAACAGATTCATCCTAGAGAGGGTTAAACCAGGCTACTCCTTGGAAGCAAGGATTCTGGGGCTTCGTCTGACATACTTTGGACATGTTGCAAGGAGAGACAGATCTTTGGAGAGGGACATCATGCTGGGTAGAGTGGAGGGACAGCGCAGGAGGGGAAGACCCTCTATGAGGTGGATTGATTCAGTGACTGGGTAATCGGGATGGGTGTGTCAGAGGCAATGCAATTGGCACAGGATAGAGCAGGGTTTAGGGCTGTTGTACATAGGGTCGCTATGAGTTGCAAAAGACTCGACGGCACATAACAACAACAACAGCAATGGGAGCCTACCAATACCCTGCCTATAGAATTATGAGCCATCAATTCCTTTGCTCAATCATTAGGCAAATATTGTCATGTTGTCTAGCTGTGCTGATTACTGTGGGAGATTTTAAAAAGTAACTTAAAGGAGTTTAAGTTTAGTTCTGAAGGTAAGACATGACCATGCATATTAAGTAATAAATGTTGTGTTGTGTTGACAATTACTTTTGATTAAGGTCAGGTGAGCTGTTGGGAAAGAGGATGTGGTACTGGTACTGGCTCTGGCAGGAATCAGCTGGGAGGAGGGCTGTGAGGGTGGACAGAGGGTGGAGCAGGGCATGGAGAGGGGACAGAGGTGGATTAAGTCTCATTACCTAAGCTGTGCCGCCACCGAGAGCACCATGCTCCACAGAAGTGTTTTTCAATAGAACACATGCATGTTGACCAAGCAATTCCAGAGGAATGCTACAAAATGGGTTTATGCTTTAGCAGTTCAAGGGAAGTGGTAAATTGAGATAGACTTCTACTAAGTTTTTTTAATAGGATCATTATATTCAGAATTTTTTTTGTTATGAATCTTCTCTTATGAAAATATAAATTCTATTGTGAACATTTTGCAAACAAATCATGTTCAGAGAGACTGAATTTGAAAGGAACAAAGTCTGAATTCAGAGGCTGTATATTTGATCGTTTTAATGTGAAACCTATACTTGGACCAGGAGGCAGTCGTCAGAACAGAGCAAGGGAACACTGTATGGTTCAAAATTGGGAAGGGCGTACACCAGGGATGCATCCTGTCTCCATACCTTGTCAACCTATATGCAGAACAGATTATCCGGGAGGCTGGGCTCTATGAGGAGAAATGTGGGGTCAAGATTGGTGGACAATTTATCAACAATCTGCGTTATGCAGATGACACAACCCTGCTTGCTGAAGCTGAAGAGGACCTGCAGCACCTGCTGCAGAGGGTCAAGGACTGCAGCCTCCAATATGGATTGAGGCTTAATGTCAGGAAGACAAAGATTCTCACCACTGGACCAATTGGCAGCATCAGGATGGATGGTGAAGAGATTGAGATTGTACACAGCTTTAGTGTGCTTGGCTCCACGATCAACAGTCTTGGCACCAGCGGCCAGGAAATTAAAAGGTGCATTGCCATGGGAAAATCTGCTGTTAGGGACCTCTCCAGAGTACTGAAGAGCAATGGTGTATCCCTGGAGACTAAGGTGTGTTTGATATAGGCCATGGTCTTCGCAATCACTTGTTATGCATCAGAGAGTTGGACAATGACCAAGGAGGATAGAAAGAGAATTGATGCCTTTGAGCTGTGGTGCTGGAGAAGAGTATTGAGAATACCATGGACTGCTAGGAAAACAAACAGATTTGTCCTGGAAAGGGTTAAACCGGGTGGCTCCTTGGAGGCAAGGATTCTGCGGCTCCGTCTAACATACTTTGGACATGTGGCGAGGAGAGACCGGTCCTTGGAGAAGGACATCATGCTTGGGAGAGTGGAGGGACAGCGCAGAAGGGGAAGGCCCTCTATGAGTTGGATTGATTCAGTGACTGGGGTAATCAGGATGGGAGTGTCAGAGACAGTGCAATTGGCACAGGACAGAGCAGAGTTTAGGGCTTTTGTACATAGGGTCGCTATGAGTCGCAAGTGACTTGACTGCACATAACAACAACAACATATTTGAAAAGTTCCTATGGCATTCACAGACTATTTTCTCTGTGACTGCTTTGTCATCACTGTAATCTTCAGCTTGCCTCAAAATTATGTCCTGGTTTTTCTGGTGCTCAATTCCCCAGACTTTTCCTGAACACCAGCAGCTCCTTAACACTTCTTACTCTACCACCCATGGTGGTTGCTCTTGCTCCAACTTGAAAATCACATATGGTTTGCTGAATGGGTATCCCAGTGTGATTAAGTTATTATAGTGTTCTAGCATCACATTCCAGTACAGGTTTCTCTGATCAGGATCCAACTGCTGCCACTCCTCCTGGGTGAAGTCAATAGCCACATCTTTGAATGTCACCGTCTCCCTATCTTGTGCCACTCTCATGATTTCTGAAACATGTGAGCCAGTCGTTATAGTTACTGTGCCAATCCATCTTGTTTTGTGTCTTATTGAAAAGTGGGTCACGGACAAAATCCTGTGACTCCATCATTTCTTCTTTCTGGAGGGGGTTAGACTTGTGAAGGCAGATCACGAGCTGCGGGCACTGGCCCCAACTCCACACTCCAGTGCCACCCCAGCACAGCGGGCAGCGCCGAGGCCCGGCAGCCGGGGACTGCAGCAGGCTTGGGAGAACAGCGCCGCCCACGGTTCCAACTTCTACTAAATTTGATGTTAAAAACTACACACTATTTCTCATTTTCAGGCCACCATTATGACGGCAACTCCTGTCAGTGGTGGTCACCAGGATGCCAACCTTTGGGCCTCACATAAGAAGATGCTGGCAGAGCCCCTGAGAGACAGTGATGTTGAGGTGCGGTTTTTGTAGAAGCTTTGGTTTAAATCCATAGTTCTAATCATGAATTAACTTTATGAGTAGCTAGATATCCTTAAGAAGAAATTTAAATAGCTGTTAACTCTCCAACTCACAGAGTTCTGTGCTGTGCTGTAGCAGACTGGGGCTGGGGGTGTGGAGGAGGAAGGGCTCATTACAATGTGATTTCTAGGTTCCTTGTAGAAAGAGTGTGAATCTTATGCCCAGCAGCATCTTTGCTTGTTTTTATAACAGTTTTATTGAGATATAGTTCATATTGCATACAAGTATCCCATTTAAAGGGCACAATTTGATGTTTATTCACTATGTCCACAGTGTTGTACAATCATCACAATTACTTTTGAACATCCTTATCTCCAAGGGAAACCCCACACCTGTCAGTAGTCCTCGCTGATGGCTTCCCAGCCCCTGGCAACCACTAATCTACCTTTTATTTTTGTGAATTTGCCCACATATGTTTTTGTTGTTTATGTTTTAAATTTTATACTGATTTCTTTACAAAGTTTGAATACATTATTTTTTCCACAAAAGATCCTTCCTCTTTCCTTTACCCACCCACCATCGAATTGTGCAACCCCATGATTACTACCCCACCTCCCTGTGCATCCTCACTCCTCTGCTTCCACCCTTCACCCCTCTTGGATCCTCATACTCCTTCTACAATAATGATTTTATATAGTATTTGTCCTTGTGGGATTGAGTTTGTCCACTCAGCAAAATGCTCTTCAGTCCCTCCCAAGTAAATTACAAAATCATTACTCCTGCGTGCTGTGTAGTATTCCATTGTATGAATGTACCACAACTTCTCAATCCATTTGTTTGTGGTTGGACATCTGGGCTGTTTACATGTTCCTGCAGTGGTGAATAATGCTGCTATGAACATTGGTGTACAAGTTTCCATTTGAGCCTCAGTTCTTATTTTCTTGGGGTATATTCCAAGCAATACAATAGCTGGGTCATATGGAATTTCTATGTTCAGCTTTTTGAGGAAGCACCATACTGCCATCTAGAGTGGTTATCCAAGTATGTTTTAAGTAAGAAGGAATGAGGAATATTATTCAAAGAGGCAGAAACTTGGTGAGATGTAGGGATGAAAATGACAGAGCGGTATAGAATTAAGATGGACACTTACTTTCATTTCCTTTTCTTGTAAGTCATTTTGTTTTCCTTAATTCAGTTCTTTTTCTTGTGGTAAAAAATTTTAGAAGATTTATGCTAGTCCTTAAGTATTATAGGAACCTTTTTAATTTTGTTGTTTCCGTTATTAGCTTATGAGGACATAATGGGTATAGATGTATTCTTTAGGATGTTGTTATTTGATTGGAACAAAATTATAAACTAAAATGTATTTTATTCCCACCAGGTTTACAACATCATTAAGAAGGAGAGTAATCGGCAGAAGGTTGGACTGGAGCTGATTGCCTCAGAAAATTTTACCAGCCGAGCTGTTTTGGAGGCCCTGGGCTCCTGCTTAAATAACAAATACTCTGAGGGGTATCCAGGCCAGAGGTGTGTGACTGTGTGAACACTGATTCTCAGACGCAGGCTTTCTAGGCCTCTCTTGCTCTCTATCATCATTCTTTTGTTATGCCTGGCATGTGATACTGCTGATATTCTTGGAACAGGTATAAATGTTCAGGTTAGCATATTTTGGTCTCTATAGGGATTTTCTAGAATGATAGTCTATTATAAAGAGAGTGCTGAGCTGCTGACCTAAACTGGATTAATGCCGTGCAAGATGGTTGTTGCTATACAAGTAATTGAACTGATTTCAGGAATGGCCAGGAAATGGAAAGGAATATATAGTAATAGACACAATCTCTGCATTATGTATGTTGGATAGAGTAAGGAATTGCACTGCCAACCCACAGGCACGCAGTTCTAATCCACCAGCTGCACTACTGGAGAAAGATGGGCAATCTCCTACCATGCAATTTTCAGCCTCTGAAAACCTGCTGGAGGCTCAGCTGCGAATTAGTTCTGACTCAGCAGAACACAACATTTCGCCCTGAGAACCACAATAAGTTATATTCATTTGGTTTTTTTTACCTTCATTGTGATTGTTGTTGGGTGCCATTGAGTCAACTGTGATTCATAGTTACCCTGCCTCCACCCTCAAGATCTCCAGCATGCTCAAGCCCAAGCCCACTGTTGTAGTCAAGTGTCAGTCCATCTCATTAAGGATCTTCCTGTCTCTTGCTGACCTACTTTTTAAAGCATGATGTCTTTTTCTCCCAGGGCTGCCTCTTCCTGGAAGCATCTTCAAGGTATATAAGACAAAGTTTCACCATCCTTTCTTCTAAGGAGCACCATAGTTGCACTTCTTCAAAGACAGATCTGTTTGTTCTTTGGGCAGTTAATACTCTTTTATACAGTAGTCTTCTCCAGCACTCAAAGACATTGATTCTTCTTCTGTCTTCCTTATTTATTGCCCAGCTTTCACATGCATAACAAACACTTGAAAACACCATGGTTGCATCATGTGTCCCTTTAACCTGACATCCTTGCTCTTTACCACCTTAAAGAGGTCCTTGACAGCAGATCTCCCCAATGCAGCATGTCTTGATTTCTTTTTTTTTTCTATAATTATATTTTATTAATTTTCATAAACATTTACAGAGATTT